CCCCGCCCCGGCTCTAAACACTGATAGGTTTTCAGCCTCCGCGGATTTGCCTGTTCCGAACATTTCCTATCAGTGGAATCACTCAACGCTTAGCTCTTGTGTCCATCGTCTTTCACTGAGCACATTTCTGAGGCTCATCGCGGCGAGGCGTATATCAGGGCTTCATTCCTTTTTACCCCTGACGAATATCCCATGGTGCGGACAGGCTGCCTTCTGCCCACCCGCTCATCTATTGATGGACACTTGGGATTCCACCTGGCAGCTACTATGAATGACGCTGCTGTGAACGTTCATGTACAAGTTTCTGAATAGATGTGTGCTTCATTGCCTGGATGCCTGGGAGTGGAGGTGCGGGGTCCTGTGGTTCTAGGTTCAGAGGAACCACCAGACTCTTCCCCAGAGTTATGTCCACCCTATGTCCGCACCAGCAGGGGCTGGGAATTTCAGTTTAGCCACATCGTCACACAGCACTTGCTACCTGCCCCTGTCTCTGGTGAGTGCCCTCCCAGTGGTGTGCAGTGGTATCTCGCTGTGGTTTGATGTGCATCTCCCTGAAGCGCAGGTGTTGAATGCCTTCTCATGTGCTGACTGGTGTTTGTGTATCTTCTTTGGAGATGTAACTGTTGGACCCTTTGCCCAGTTCTTGGTTGTGTCATTTGTCTTTTCAGCATTGAGCCATGAGGGTTTGTCACGTATCGCGGCTGCAAGTCACTCGCCGGTGATCCGCACGTGGTCCCCCTCTGCTCTGTTCAGAGGTGTGCCTGCCCTCCAGAGGGTAGCTGTCCTCACTATTCCCACATGTGGCCCGGTTCCTGAGGGCTGCTGGCACTGCAGGCACCCTGGTGTCAGCCCCATCACATCCCCAGCTGTTACAGATGTGGCCAACGCCCACCGTGCACTTCCTTGCCCTGCCGGGGACAACAATCAGGAGACAGTAGGTGCCCTCTTGCCCAGAGGTCTGGTGAATTTGCATTCCATGTCCCGTCAGGAAGCTAACGTTACACATGCCTTTACATTCTGAACTCTCAAGTGCCGGCTGCCACGTGCAGCTTAGCGAGCACAGAACCACACTGCAGGATGCCCAGATCCCCCACTCACTGGCCACACAGCAGCCAGGGCTCCTTCTGGAAGACGCCAGCTCCGCCACTTCCCTCCAGGGCCCTTCCACGCTGCCTCATGGCAAAGGCCCCACCTCCCACCCCTCCATTACCTGGAGCCTCAGAGCTGCCTGCAGGATGCCCCCTCTGTCTGGGATGCTCTCTCAGCCCCTGGCTAACTAACTCCTGTGCAAGTATGGAGTCTTGGCTTCAGTGTCAACCTACCCTGGGGGTCGTCCCAGGCAGCCCCTGCCCATCATCTGTGTCTGTGGTTCAACATCAGCTCCTCAGGATAACTGAGCCTCAGAGAGGCGGGCCTCGAAGACCCCTGGCACAGGCCTGGCACACAGCAGCCGGGCCCACCATCTATCTGGTGAGGGCTCATGGAGGGGACCTTCTGATGCCCGGCCAGCCCTCAAGGCAGCAAGACACAAGGCACCCACAGTCTACCAGGCGATGCACATGCCAGGCCCACACTAGCTTAGGGATCTGTGCCCCAATGCCAAGCCTGCCTCACACCCATGTCCTGTGCAGACATGGTGGGCTGAGCTTCTCCTGCTCTCCCTGCCTCTCTTCTGTTATTCAGGGGCAGAGGTGGGGAAAGGTAACCCCTGGGCATCCCCAGCCAACAGAAGACCCTAAGGCCTCAAAATTTTAATCAGCAAACCAAGTCCCTTTGGAGTCCCTGCTCCAATACCAGTCCTAGAAACTCCCAAGACAGTAAGCGGCCTGGTATGGGCCCCCGGCCGAAACCAGCAGCACACATCCCCTGAGAAGCAGTTGGCCAAAAGCAACCGCGCCTGAAACTAATCAACAGAACACATCCAGCACACAGCTGTCACATCCAGAACTTTCTGCAGTGATGAGCTCTTTGCTGTCCTGTACTTAGTAGCCACTGGCCACAAGTGGCTCTGAAGCACTAGAAATGTGTCTCACCACACAACACAGCTCCAGACCCAACTACCCAAACGCGGAGGACAGGGGACACTCTAGAGGACACCAAGGAGGTGACACAGACACAACCCAAACCCAGGTGCTCTCAGGGCTGGTTTCTTCTATAAATTGCACGACAAAGAGAGACAAACGGAGGCAGGGCCAATACATCAACAGAGATTTAAAAGACATCAACTAGTTGCACAGTGTGCACCTTATTTGGGTCCTAATTCAAACTAAAAAACTGAACACAAACAATTTGAACATGCTGGACACAACGACATCAGGCAAATTCTCACTGCTTTAGGTGAGACTGTGCTGTTGCCACAGCCTCCAAAATGCCTACAGATCAAGGAGGAGGGCTGGAATTGGATGCGCTACTGGGCAGGGGTGGGGTACGGAGGGGCTGAACAGGCCACAGGGCAGAGTCCGGGAGGCTCACGCCATCACTCTGCCTATGCTTTGTGTACGTTCCCGTTCGACATGATAAAAAAAAAAAGCTTCAAAAGCAGCAGCAACATTTCACTAAGTAACGTCATCCTTTTCATGCTGCCACCTCCCAGCATCATTTAACTCAGAAAAGCCTGCAGTCTCAGAACCTGGGCCAGCCTGCATGCCAAGTCCTGGATTCCCTGTGGTCCAGCCGTGGATCTGAACATGGCTGTCCTACTACACTCAGGCTGCCAAGGAGTCTCAAACAGAAGGATGGCTGGGAGATGCTGACAACAGAGGTGCCAGGCCTGAGCCTGCCACATGAAGCTGCTGATGACACCCAAAAGGCAGGGGGGCTGGGGTCCCCGGATACTCACACCCTCGCCCAGGAGGCTCCCTGACCTCTCTGAGCACAGTCCCTCCTCGTTGGAAAAGAGAAAACTCTCCCTCCCCGTGAGGAAGGGGTCTGCAAGATTGACAGGCAGAATGGCCCGGGGGATCACTGGGAGACCTTAACATCTGCACCCAGGGCCCAGTTTCCATGGGTCATTGTCCGCCCTACCCCCATCCCTCCAGAAATCTCCCAGAGGCAGCTTCAGGGTGTAAAGAAGATTGGAGTCTCCTCTATGCCCCAGTCACCTGCTTCCCCAGAGTCCCATGGCATCTCAGGGGGCCAGCAACTCTGGGAATCCTGCTGGCTCAGGAGCAGAGCCTAAAGGGACACATGCAAGGACACAGGCTCAGGCTTTACTGTGGTGCTGAGCGCCTCCAGAGCCCCCACCTCTCTGCAGGCCTCCAGCTGACCTGCTGGTACAGTTCATTTCCCAGACAGCTCCCGGATACCAGCACAGCGCCAGATCTGGAGAAGCAGAGAACAACCAGCAGGACCCAGGCCTGACCCTGCAGCTGTCAGCCCACCAAAGACAAAGGTAACCTCACTCACAGCATCGAGAAACAGGGATGGGGTAGGTGACACAATCATGCAGGCTCTAGCGGTGGCATGCAGCCTATGTCCACAGACGGCAGAGTTGGCAAACGCTTAAATGGTCAGGAAGCAAGGCGACCGGCCCAGTGTGGCCCCCATGGCTGGCCCCGGGGATTCTGCTTTTCCCCCACCCCCAAGTCCGCCCAGCAAAGCACCAAGGACATCTACGCCACCCAAGAGAAACACCACCCTGCTTCACCTCCCAAACTCCAAACCTGCCTGAACGCTGACCACAGGAACTCCCCGATTAAAGGTGGCCATATGCTTGAGTCCCTCAGGGAATGTTGCACAACCAAATGTGGCCTGAGGATGCTGAACACTCCCCAGGTGATTCCAGCATGCAGCCAAGGAGAGACGGAGTCCTGGCCTAGGGGTCTGGAAGTGTCCAAGACCTCCAAAAGAGGCCACAGGGGCGCAGATCAGTAGGCCCCAAGCCTGGTCCCAGCCCCAGGACAGCTGTGTGCAAGTCCTGGTCCTCTGCACCCTTTTTATTTCAACTCGGTCCTGAGCACCTCAGCTCAGCTCTGCCATGTCCCGGCTGTTACTGGTGCGTGTGCTTGGACAAGGGGCATTGCCTGTGAATCTGTTTTCTCTGCTGTAAAATGGGGATCCTCACTGGACCTCTGCCTCCAAGGGTTCAGGTGAGGGTGAGCGTGCAAGTCTACAACCACAGCTAGCCCAGGACCTCACTCAAGGCAAGCTCTCCACAGGGGCTGCCTGTTATTACTTCCAAACTGCAAACCTGACGACCACTCTTCAGCACTTTAAACGCCTCCTTGCCGACCCGACCTACCCGCGGTTCCCAAGATGACATCAGAGCCCTGTGACAGGACACCTCCCATCCTGCCCCACTCCGCACACTTCCCCTGCAGTTGCCACGCCAGGACTTTGGGGGTTACCTTACCCTGCCTCCACCCATGACCAAGGGCAGCCTCCAGGCTTTGACACACACAGTGCCCTCTCCCTTCCTCGGGACCACCGTCCTACCCCTCCTTAAGCGTCAGGCCAATTCTTAAACATCCATCAAATCCATGCCTAAACGCCTCTTTCGGGAATTCTCTCCTGCCAGCCCAGACGGACCTGTCCACTGCCTAGGTTCCTACTCCTGACCTCCCAGACGCTGAGTATCCCCGTGGCCAGGCCGCATTCAATTAGTCCCTCATCAGTGTCCAAGCATCCACAGCCCGGCCCCGCACGCTGCCACAGGCGGCCCCAGCAGCTCGCCCGCGGAGCCCCACCAGGCACTGCGTCGCTTTCGCAAAAAAAACGGGGCTTTTCCGTCTCGCTCTGGCCCGCGCCAGGCCAGCTGAGAGCCGGCCGCGGTCCCAGGGTTCCTCATTTAGTCGGCCGACCCACTGCGCCCGAGCCCCGCCCTGGGAGAGGCCTGGCGCGCCCGCCTCCCCTACTGGAAGCCGGGCCGAAACACGCTCACGCCCGGCGCGCCCGCCAGGCCGGTTGCCTGCGCGGCCCGCCTCCCCGAGGCCCCGCGCCCGCCCGGCGCCCGCCTGGCGCCATGGCAACCGCGCGGCCCGCGTCGGCGCCCCGGTACTCACAGTGCGGTGGCGTCCGCGGGGATGCGCAGCGCGGGCCCGAGCGTCCGCAGGCCGCGGCCCGAGCAGTTGACGCGGCAAGGGACGCCGGGCGCCGGGCCGCAGAGGCAGGGGGGCGCGCACGGGCCGCAGCCGCGCCCGGGCTCCCCCGCCAGCGCCCCGAGCCACAGGCCTAGGCCCAGGGCGAGGGCCAGGAGGGCGGGCGCGGCGGGCGGCATCGTCAGGGCAGCGCGCGCATGGCCCCGGCGCGGCCCCGAGGGGACCCGCCCGGCGCCGGCGGCCGCGGCTCAGGCGCACCCCGCAGCCGGCATGGCGGGGAGCGGGGCGGGACCCGACGGCGGACTCGGCCTGTCTGCCTGCGCACCGCCCAATCGGCGCTGGCCGGCCGCACTCTAGGATCCACGGCCGCTCGCGGGCGCGCTCGCGCTGCAGTGCGGGACGCCGCCCGCTCTTGCTCGTCCTCCGGGCACAGGCAGGCAGGCAGTGGGCGGGGCGCCCGCAGGCTCCGCCCCTGCTTGCGAAGCCGCCGCGCGGGCGGGGAGGCGGGGTTTCTTGAGGTTCTGCCGTCGCGGGCGGAGCTGGGCAGCGCCGAATCCGCCCCCTGAGCTGGGAAGGTGGGCGGGGCGTGCGGGGTTCCCGCCCTGCGCTGGCGGCCCTGGCCCGCTCACCGCCTCCCGGCGGCCGTGACCCACGCCTTTTCCAGCTCTGCAGCGCCCCTCGCTTCGGTTCCCCGCCGAGTCCGCGCCTCCTGGTTGCTTGCAGTCACAAGTCGCGGCCCTGAAAACCCCAGAGCAGTGACCGCCACGGCCTGCCATCCCCGAGGCCGGTCATCCGGTGAGCGCGAACTCCTCTACTCTCAGGCGTCTGTCCCGCTAGGTCTCAATTAATACGCGTCACGTATTCTGGTGGTGTCCCGCCAGAGCGCCGGCGAGGTGTGCTTGGTTGCTCGCAGACGTATTCTCAGTGCCTGTGGCATGCGGGCAGCCAGATGGCGGGAAGGTGTGGGCCCTGGGCGGGTACCTACCTCCATCACTGGGCTGAGGACCACTCTTGGAAAGCTCTGAGGGGGGTGGAGGGGATGCGGGAGTCCGCGCCCCCGGAGACGCACAGGCTGGGCTGCCTGCTGTCCTCGCTGGGCGCTGGTGAGGAACAGCACATCCTGCCAGTCCCAGCCTAGCCACTGTGGGCTCTGACATAGCCCGGCGGGCTGTGCAGGGGGCCGGCACCGGGGCCCCCTGGTCCTCCCCGGTACCCAGGCGTCTGCTGGCCTTTCTGACAGGTGCTGGATGGCTGAAGGAAAGGAGGCGTTCTGAAGGGGAGGCTGCTCCACAGCCCGTCTTGGATTGGTGGAACGCTTCTTCAGGGTTCCTGGGGGACCCGCCTGCCCTCCCGCCAAGAGCACGGGACCTGATGACCCCTGCAGAATTCCTGAGGCAGAGACTGGCCCTTCCTCAGGGCCCCTGCTGTGTCCGCGGTCCCTCCCTGGGGCCCTCTCTCCTGTGCTCAGGCA